TTGCTGTGTTGTTTTTGTTGCTGAGAATCGGCTTGTTTTAAATAATGGAGGAATGTAGAACTTCAGTGGGAGGGAGGGATGAAAGGGATGAACTGCAATCTGCTCTGGTCTTCCTGCGTTTCCATCTCTTTTGCCTGTGTGTTTGATGGAGTCAAATGAGTCGTATGATAGACGATATTGACAAGCTTAAATGCCCTTATTGGATGAGAAGTGGCCCCTGGGTGCTGCCCCAGCGTTTTGTAAGAACAGGCCGCCAGACGAAAACCACACACTCACATATAGCACTACCCCTTTTTGCTAGCACAGCACTCTCAACAATTACCTTCCAGCTCTTTAAAACACACACACACACACACACACACACACACACACACACACACACACACACACACACACACACAAAGGCTATCTTTATGACTGCAGCATTTCCACCATTCCAGCCCACTATTTTTTTTTTTTTTCCTGCTTTCCTTACCTCCTTCACCCAGAGACCATTAAACCAGATCCCTTCTAAAAGGCTTTAAGGCCTCTCTTGGCTAGCCACTTCTTCTCCAAAGCTCTGCCATGGCTCTTTTCATGTTTTTAAATCAAAGTCCATGAAAGGTTGAGGGGGAAGAGGGGGAAGCAAAGAGAAATTTGGGACGGGTTTTTGTGTTTGTGGGTTGGAGACAAATCTTAGCTACAAACCCATATGGTCTTACTCACACACAGACACACACACACACACACACACACACACACACACACACACACACACACATATACACAGGCTTAATCTGATATGGTACATGCCCTCCTGGCTTGTTCTGCTCTGCTGGGATTTTACTTTTTTTCTCTTATGTCTCCCTTCTCACCTGCTGAGAGTTACCTTGTGTAACCTGCTCTCTTTCTTTTTGTCTCTTCTGCTTTCATACACACACACACACACACACACACACACACACACACACACTGAACTGCACCCACACGCTCTTGGAGCACAAACACTGGTATGAAAGAAAGTCTGGAGGTGGCCTCTGCTGTGATTCGTGCTCTTCTCTTGCAGATGATTGTGATTTAAGGATCACGGCGGTGTGTAGCGTTTTGATTTTGCTGGTAGTCAACCTGAAAATGTTTTCCTTGATGGTTTTTTGGCAGAGGCTGTGTTGGGGGAGCTCTGGCCAGCTCACTTCACCTGCCAGCTGCTCAGCTCAGGCTGGTCCTTCTGGGGTCTTTTTTTTTACTTTTTTTATTTTCAAGTTTTATACTCAAAAAGACATCTCCGCTCTAGTCTCCCCCCTGTCTCCACCTGGCCCTGCAGATCAGGTTCCATATGCATCAGTGTCTCTGAGTGGGAGCGCTGACTCACCTTCAGTTAATCTTTTCTGACTGCAGCACGTGGTGATTGCTGGTATGGTGGGTCCAAACCTGAGGTGCAGAATTTTAAGGTGCATCTAGTTATTGATTGCTCTCAAGAAGCTGTGTTCTATATAATGTGTTCTATAGTAGTATAGTATATATAAGTATAGTGAAGTGCTACACCATGTACACACAACTGTGCATGTACAGTTCTGTTTTGGGTGATAAGTTTTATTTATTTTTATACTGATACTTTACTGACAATCCGCTATTTCCTCTGTATCATCCCGGCCTAGTTGACAGCCCGCTTCAGCATTAGTTTTCTGATGTTTAAGAGATTATATAATGAACGGCTTGATATTGAGGGCACATGTCAATTAGGGCAGGTAGATACACCTTTCGTGTCAGAGGGTATAAAACTATGTTTGCCGACATCTTTCCTAATCATTTTGTTCATTGTTAAATTTTAACCTCTAAACTTATTTCTTGAACTATTCCTCACCTGTGACTGGAAATCCTCTGCAGTCACATTCTTTTATGAAGCATTTTGCACTTTACAAGCACTTTGGCTCCTTTCCGATAAGGTGAGAGACATACTTTTGAACTTCACTTGAGTTATCGGAGGTGTTTTACCCAGATAAGCCACACTGTATGTGACTTGGTGAAAGATAAATGGACACCTTATTCTTTCTTTTTGTGACCTCCCTTTCCCCTTGCCTTTTCTCTGGGTTTTCCATCTTCCTCATCCTCGACCGAGTAACCTTTAAGGTAGCCCTGGAAAGGGGAGAGGCAAACTTCGAGTGACAGAGGTGTGATTAAGTTTAAGGGTGTGAGTGAAGGGTATATGGTAAAGTATAGTGATCAGTAAAGTGCAAGACTTCGTGGTTTAATCAGCGTTACTGGACAGAGCGCCAAAAGGGCATGGCTTAAGCATAGTGCCATGCAACAGAGATGCACTCACAGGCGCGCCGTCAGGGAGTGGGGTGGTGGTCGGGGGGTGAGATCAAAGGGTACAGATGGGGGCCTATGCTAAGGTCTATGGTTGACCTTTAAGTAGGATCAAATAGGACACTTTACTTCCTGACTTATATCCCTGACAATACAATTTATACATATTTACATAACTTGTCATCTGATACCCCCCCACCCCCCACCCCCCACTGTTCATGAGAAAATTGTGCAGTCAAAACACTTGGCCAGTCAGATCTCTCTCTCTCTCTCTCTCTCTCTCTCTCTCTCTCTCTCTCTCTTTCTCTCTCTCTCTCTCTCTCTCTCTCTTTCTGACACACACACACACACACACACACACACAAATACACATTGACAATGCACCCGTCTGTGAACAGCTTGCTGTTTGCTTTTCCTTTCAGAGAAGACGACTGTACATAGCTGCAAGTCAGTGTCGACTGCTCGTGCAAGTGGATAACATTAATGTTAATCCTTTAACTCTGACGCTGAATGTTTGCTCCCTCAATCCACATGAATACTGAAAAAAAAAATATTTTCAGCCTCAAAGGGGGCTCATACGGAGGAGGCGCAGAGACAGTCTGGACCAGAGGTATTAGCAAAAAAGAGTGTCTAGAAACTTAATCAACACACGTGGGGAAAGCTGAAGTCTGACCAGTGTGATTAGCTATCCCAATTAATTTGTTATATTTCCAGGCTACAACCAGTGCTGCTGTGGCCGCTGAAGTAGCGAGAGAGGGTCAGGAAGGGATAGCTGTAGCTAATGAGGAGAGAGATGTAGGAGAGGAGGAGGAGGAGGAGGAGGACAGCAGCCAACATGCTGCTGTGGGAGAGCCAGCTAGGGCAGACGCAACAGGTGAGATTGACAGCAAACGCAACAAGATAGAGGCGTGCATATGTACTGACTAGTCAAAACTTAAATGTCCTGCCCTCTATCCTTTCTTTCCTGTCTGTGTATAAAATCACACCACTCAGAAAAACGAATGTTCAGTCTTTAAAGGATTAAACCTGAAAACATTTAATAGAGAATTTACAATTTCCAAACCCAAATGTACAAGTTTGAAAAGCCAAGATCATAGATTATAAAACATTGGTTAGGCAGCCATTACAGTTTTGAGGATGCTTCTTTCTGCAGTCACCTCCTATCTGTAGCTGTGCAACGTTTCTATTGTTGCACGACTCAATACAGCAGCTCCATCGGCAAATCACCACTCTTTGCAGTCTAACTGGCCAATTAATTATCTTGTCAATCGTGCAGTAAAGACAGTGCCTCGGGAGAAGCAGTGGTTGATGTAGTGTTTGGAAACCTTCCCGCATTATGACTAAGAATTGTCAGACTGACCAGAATCATCATTTTTGCGTTTTGCATTAGATTGAATAAGGAAATGCTTTTCCTTAGTGTTCCTTTGGCTCAGTCTTTATTAATCTGAGGAGCCGCTGATGACATTTCCAGAAGTTGATGGTAAGGCCATCAACACAACTAATGCGTGTGTAATTGTAAATTCAATATACTGAGTTCCCTTCACCTTTTCTACCTCTCAAAAACTGCACTGAAATTTGATGTATTTCAAATATAATGTAAATTTGTCTGAGAAAACAACTAACTATGCCAGTGTATTATGCTAAGCTCCAGGCGTATTAAGTGTTTCTTCCAAATTTCTCGTCTCAGTTTTTCATATTAAACATCAAAATTCCAACATACTTTTCATTTGCTTTTCCAAACATGTCAGAATTAGATTTCAGTCTAAGTGCACTTTTTTCAAATATGTTTAGGCTGATAAGGAAACGTTTGTGTGTTTGTATGTATCCATCACTAGCTGACATGCTTTTGCATGATTTTAAACATATTTTTGCCTGACTTGTTTCATAAAGACACACTGAAAATCTAGACAGCGATACTTAAAAAAAGGGATTTTTGTTCTCTAATGTTCTTTGATGTTTGTTTTTTGTTCTTTTCCCAGTTAATCACAGTCTAGAGCCAATTCTCTCTCTCCCTTCTTCCCTCTTCTCATCTTATTTTGCCTTTGTGATTGATGAAGAGTTTGAGGAAGCACTGAGCAAGCCTACAGAGAGGACAAACAATCTCCCACATATTGTTGCAGTGTTGAGTGTGGCGAGGGAGGTGAAGTAGCTATCAATACCCCTATTGATGACTACAGTGGAAGCTGGTGGAAATGTCCTGCTTCCCTATTGATCTCTGATCCATTAGGAGCTGTTAGTAGACGGCTGGGTGAATGATGGGGAGCAGTCCATCCATCATAAGTCGACGCCCACGCTGCTTGGCAGGCGCACACTTTTAGCTGTTTTGCCCGTTGTCCTCCTCCTCCTCTCCTTCTGTGATCCTCCTTCTCTCACTCCTTTCCTCTGCTGTTCCTCGAACACAAAACACGCCTGACCCTCTGCACAGATGGAGTGGACGATTTGGCTTGAATTTGACAGCACCTGTCTGCACACACTAGCTTTGAGAAATAATCTTACTCTTACATGAAGTCCACTTCATGTCTTTCCACCATGAATGTCTTATCTTGATCCTGGAAATGGAAATGAATGAAACATATTTAACTGTTGAAAAGTGAATGAATGAAACCAATGTAATCTCTCTCTTCCTCTGTTCCCCTTTCTATTCCATTCCATTCCATTCTATTCCATTATATTCTATTCTATTCTATTCTATTCTATTCTATTCTGATGTCCAGGTCACTGATCGGTCTGTGCAGGCTGTTGCAGAGCATTGTCCTGAGCTGCAGTTCGTTGGCTTCATGGGATGCCCTGTGACCTCTCAGGGAGTCATCCACCTTACTGCGGTAAGTACCATGCAAAAATCTTTTGATTTGCATTATGATAGTTTACCTTTAATCCTCAGCCGCGACCTGTTGTAGGAACTCAAGTTGTGTGTTTACTTACAGTAAAATCGAAGATAGCGCACTTCCTGCAGCACAGTTGAAAGAAGGTTAATTTCAGTCAACAGCTTAACCTTTTTGAAGTAATTACTTGCATCAGTAAATGCCAACAGAAGTTTTAGTGTGACTAAGTTTTTTTTTGTCTAATCCTGTTACTGTAGGCCAGCTCTCCATGTTGCTGCAGGCCATGCATTGTCTCCAGGGGGGAAATTTAACTTTTGGAGAGTAAACTCAGGACCTCGCTGTGTTTTTTATCTCAGACTTAGTTCTGAAGTTATTTTGTCTTAACTTTTAAATCTCATGAAAGCCTAATGAGATGAATCCTAATAATACGCTGCTGTTCTGACTTCACCCTGCTGTTTGGATATTACCATGCTAATGAGCAGGGCTCCGTGGTTAAAGATGTTCCATGCCATATAAACATGGACACACATGCACTCACTTGGTGATAGCTTGAATTGAAATACTGCACCTAGTTTTTCTCCTCATTTATTTCTCCTAACATGACGTCCATCTAGACTTTATGAGTGTGTGTGTGTGTGTGTGTGTGTGTGTGTGTGTGTGTGTGTGTGTGTGTGTGTGTGTGTGTGTGTGTGTGTGTGTGTGTGTGTGTGTGTGTGTGTGAGAGAGAGTATGGTATGTCCGCACCTATGGGTGCTTGTGAAATACAATTTGATTTGGGTTTGATGTACTTAGGTGCACATGCGAGTGTGAACGTACCCTTGTGGACCTGCTTGCGCCCATTCCTCCTCAAATGCAATTACAGTTGTGTTAATAGGACTTAGACACCCGATGCCATGCTGCATTATTAGATTAAACAGCAGATTAATTTGTGCTCATTCTTTTGGCCCCCTATCATCTCTGCAGCTTCCACTGACCTTGGCCATGGTGTTGTAGACAGACAGTAATGAAGCCAGCCAGTCATAACAGCATTAGCATACCTGGAGGTGGACGCATACACATCCGCCCACACGCACAGTCTAGCACACCTCATTATTATTTATTACAGTATTAACCAAGGTGAAATTTTAGGAGTTCAGATGAGCAAGTTCATAATTCTGATAATATTTATGTTTTTTTTTTAAAGATGCAGTTTTGTCTCAACTGAACTTTTTTTTCACATGATTTTTTATCAAGGTTATGAGAATTTGCCTGATTAGTTTATAGCTGCTGAATTTGTATCAGTTCATATGTCTGGCAATAAGTACCAATAAAACTGGAGCACAGAAAGGACAAAATTATATATCAGGTGTCACCATTACATAGTTTGTCTGAGCACTGATGGTGCAAGTTCATTTTTCGACTGCAAAGTGTCCGATTCAGTAAATATCTTGGTGACAGGTCTTTCTGAAAGACTCTGAAAGAGTAACTTAACACCAGGCGAAGAGACAGCGATTCACTGCTCTCACTCGTTGCAGGTTCCAGGTCTGATTTTACCTCTGAGCACACCCAGAATCACTGATGTGTGTGCGTTTGTGTGTGTGGTGAGAGATGTACAGTGTTGCATCTGTAACCACACACAGCAGTGAGGCCACAGTGGACTGACACACCCTGTAGTAAACTTCTACATCACTGCAAAAAGTTAAACCACTGGATGTCAGAAAAATATGTCTGAAGTTTCTTTCCAAAGGATAAAAAAATGTTTGAGTTTATGTAAAAAATCTAATCATGTGATATATTCTTATTTGATTTTCTAAATTCTCAAATCGCTATTGGCCTTGAAAATACTGTAGCCATCTTTAACTAATTGAGCATTTTTGGAAATCCCAAATTTAATTATGGTTTTTCTTGCTGTCCAAATCAGATTTGCATGAAGATTAATTTTTACATCGACTGCTAAAGTACGGTGAAGGGGTGATGACAAGATCAAATCAAAATAACCACTTAAAAATACTCTTTTTTTTTTTTTTTTGAGGGTAGTTGATGTTTCTGGCACCGGTGTGATGGTAATTTATGAATCGTGATGCGATGGAAATGTTTCAGGGATAACACTCTGACCACAGCCTGTCTGTACAGATTTAGAGTCAGATCATCTCTCTCTTTGTTCCTGTCATAGCCATCATGTCTGTGATTCATCTCTTTCTGTCCTCCCTCTCTCTCCTGCCTCTCTCTCTCTGTCTCGCTATAATCTCTGACAGTAATTATCTCGTTTAGCAGTTGATTCCTCCTCTCATTCATTCCCACTTGGTCCCATCCAGTGTCGATTGAAAATCATATTCTCGCGTTTAGAATCGTTGCATTTCTGATGACTCCGTGGACCTGCATGCAATTCCAGGACTGCAGAGCTCCTCTCTTGTTTGATTATCACACACTCCCTCCCACTTCTTTTCTTCCTCGATTTGTCTCTCTCTCTCTCTGATAATCTTCCCGGCCCCCTCACTTGCAACCTAGCTATCATCCAGAAAAAAGGGAAAATCCATTACTTTTATTAACTTCTCTCATATGACACACTCATTTCAGGTTGATAGTCTTTTTTATACCGACTCCTCACATATTAGGGTTTGAGGAGATCAATTGAAATCGTATTTTCTTAATCAAGTGAGCCGATGGTTGAACTGGGCCACCCATGGTGATGAGTTCAATGCAGATGGTCTGTAGAGTAACTGTAAAGCTGTGGCTTTTATGCTCGTCTAATGGTTTTGCAGTGTTTCAGTCCTACGGGAGCCGCGCGGTTCCTCTGTGGTGTGCAACACAACTCAATATTTGTAGCTGGGCGCCGTTTGATAAATCATCATCTTGTTAGCAGCTGAAAGGCAAAATCAAGATTTCTGCTGGCTGAGGGTGTAAAGCCTGCTAATCGAAAACAAGCTTTCCAACACACTCCTTACTCCTTGGGCATCAAGCATTACATACAGCTTCAAATGCCAGAACAAAAACTGTGATGATTTGAAGAGCAAATGCGCGCCTGATGTGGTCTTTTGTGTTGCTTTGCCAGGGATATAATGTAAATTTTTATTTATGGTCGGTTTTTGGAATGAATCTGGCACTAAGCTCTTGACATTATAATGATATTTTTATTGATGAGGCTTGTCACATCGTAAGGCTGTGTAATGGATAAAGAGCGCTGTGGGATGGAGGCTTTGTGGGTGTCCCAGAGCTCTCAGTGTGATTTGGTTGCCCTCCCTCAGCAGCCAATGGAAGAACTCTTATATATACTGTATATGTGTGTGTTTGTATGAGATTCACTTTCAGAGGGTTCACCCTTGAGTCAAGCCGGTGACAGGCCACAGAGGTGGAAGCACAATAGATTTTAGTGTGTGTATGTGTTTGTTTGTGTGTGTCTAGGAGCTGGGCGTTATTAAAAAGGATGGAAGGCTTCGATCAGCCAGTGTGAGTGTAACCCTCGTTCTTCAGATGTGTGTCTGTGTGTGTGTGTGTGTGCGTGCGTGCGTGCGTGCGTGCGTGCGTGCGTGCGTGCGTGTGTGTGTGTGCGTGCGTGTGTTTGTGTGTGTTTGGTGCCTTGACGAAATGGATTTATTTGTATTTCAGAAGTGGAGAACATACAGTATTTTCCGTGCTGTCTCCTCTCGTGCAGCTTTGGTCACACTGTTGTTGCTGCACTTTTCTTTTTTTTTTTTTTTCAAAGCCAGCCAGCAGCAGTCATTATCCAACTCTTTGCACAGTTTTGTTACCATTTACCTGTTGAGTCTCTTTCACTGTCCAATCTCTTTCTGAGTTTAGTCACTGTCATCCTCTGTATGTATCTCTTTTTTTCTCTCTCTTTTATTCTTGTGGTCCATGTGTTTTTGTCTTTTTGTCTCTCTCTGTCTTTCTCTCTCTTTCTCTTTCTCTCTCTCTCTCTCTCTCTCTCACTCACACACACACACACACACACACACACACACACACACACACACACACTCTCCCTCCCTCTGTCTCTCCATCTTCCTGTCAAGTGGTGCTCTTTTCTTCTGGTAGTGATTAAGTCCAAGGTCGGCTCTATCAGAGAGCTAGTGTTTGAGAGCAGCTCTGGGTGCCAGAGAGCCTTCATTCCCTCAGCCTTAGATGTCCCACTGATGGCTTCCCTTTGCTTGTCATGCCTACCCACAATGCCCCTCCTTATACATCAGCCTATCACTGCCCTAGGACACTGTGGGCCTCAAAATGCCTTTTTTGTGTGTGTGAAAGTTCCCACCCTTGGGAGAAACAGAGGAGGCCAAAGACATAACAAATGGAGAGACTGTTGAAAAATGTGTCAGAGATGAAAAGAGGTATATTTGGAGACTGTAATGGCTATGTGTTGTCTCTCTGATGTGCAGAACTTGGATGTTTCTGGTCCTAATTTGGGGCCTTGTAAATTAATTCAGCCGTGCCGCTCCAGTGGTTTTGTTGTTCTTCTCCAAAAAAAGTCTGGACCTTTGATAAATGCTCTCTAAATTTGACAGAATTGGACTGTGGGCAGTACCCCATTCTTTTTGTGTGTTTATGAGCAAATAAAACAGTCTGGTTTATGACAGGGAAGCTATTTAATTTCATAACCAGAATCATATGTTCTATCAATCCCGGTGGCTTAGTGGAGCAGTATGTACTTGCAACATCCTGAGTTCAAATTTGGTTTCACAGCCGATGAATAACAAGAAAAATATTGTTATTTATTGCTCTTTTTTTTTTTTTTTTTTGCCTTTTTTTTAAAACAAATTGCCATGTACACAGGCTGGAAAAGAGGTTTTAAAGTGGTGAAACACAAAAAGGTTAAGATGCAGGTCTTCACCCACTGTCACCTCCACACCCAGCACTCCACTGCTCCCTCCCCATGTAGGATGAGTGGTGTCTGGCTTTGCTGTAGTCTGCCGGCCCCTTATCTCCTCCCTCTGACTGGAGCACAGAAAATACATAATCACAGTGCCCTGTGTCAAACTGATAACCCCCAACACAAACCAGAGAAGTAAGTGTGTGTGTGTGTG